GATATATATATATATATATATATATATATATATATATATATCAATCAATGATCGAAATAGTTCGATTTAGTTATGTGAAATAAATATACACCAAGTAATTCAATCTTGCTTTATATTATAAATATATATTTTTATTTATTTATTTAAGCCTGAGTACGTATCTATGTATACCTGATATATACTTGATGTATTCTAGAAACCGGACGTCACTGATGGAATAGATGCCGAACAGTACCATCATGATGCCCGTCATCTGTAAACAACAACAACAACATACAAGTACAATAGTGCAGCGTCTTAACCATAGAAATAATATCTAGATAGACCTCTATATACGTGTCTCTATATATTTCTATGGTCTTAACATTAAGATATATAAGATATAAGATAAGATATAACAGTTTTATTTGTAGGTTTCAATATTAGTAATTAGAAGGATTTTAACAAAGCGAACAGTGAACAGCGAGGGGATAACGAAAAGACCATACGGTCATCTAGTCAGCGGTCCCCTGAAAAAATTATAAAGTACGCGGGCAACTGTCATTAGAGTAGAAACTATCAATCATAGAGTAACATTAAGTTTTTCTATTTTTGTTATTCTTTTTTTTTCTTTTTTTTTCCCATTTAAGATACCAAGCAGCGCACGCACTCCCCATAACGGCGGGGAGCCCGTTGTCAGAAACAAAATCAATAGAACAAACAAATAGAATGAACACTGGTCTTAACCAGTTCAGTGGACTTTACATTTCTTGTAGACCGTTGACAGAAACATGGTAGTTATAGTGTTAGAGTTATAGAGTTTAAAGTCAAGGAATCAATACTTTTAAAAGTTACAGAAAAGTTCCGAGTTTCTCATATGCGGTGTGTATATATATATATATAGAGGTCCGGTCTACGAGACAAAGTTAATGTTCAGACTAATTTTGTTTTTGACAACCGGCCTCTGTGTCATCGCCCGCCGTCTCTTTCACATCAGATGGTCCGGACTGAAATGTATAGAGCGGTGAATGATTCAGAGTGACATGTCAAGCAAGCTGCAGGCTGCAGTGTCAATAAATCTCCAGCTTTTACTGCCTTATGATTCATTGCGATTGTCTACAGTGAACCCTCTGTTAATTCACGTCTCCATACAGCGGTCACCTCTATACAAGGGACGGGGCTGGCGTTTTCGTTGTGCGGCAGATATGCAGGGAAACCAACTCTATAGAACGGTCACATAGCTGTCTATAATAGCGGACACTTTAATGTTACCCTTGGGTGGAGTTATACAGCGAAATCATTTTTTTATGGAACGGATAACCGTTCTATAAATGACACTTTTAATGATTTCCTTGAGTTGAGTTATATAATTATAGTGATATTTGCTTAGACCGGGTAATTGTCTACACGTTTAACGTTTTCTCTGATTTAATGACCCTTATATGCACGGTTTGGCTGAATATAGCTGTATATTAGCTGTATATACATGCGTCACTGGCGGGTGTGACAGATAGACCAGGGCCTCGTCTCTGATATATTCGATCTCGGTCTCTGATATATTAGATAATATACGATCTCAAGAGAGAGAGAGAGAGAGAGAGAGAGAGAGA